TTTTAGTAATTTACAGATTATTTTTGAACCAGATTAGATTAAGGTGTGAATTATATATGAAATTAAAGAGAATTTAATTGTCTATAAGTACATACCTTTGTTTATAGTGACAACGGCTTTTTTCATAGTGAAAATTGTTGTTAAAGATGCACAACACACACTTTCACGCGCAATAAATGCAGCGACGCAACAAAAGGTGTATGACTGGTTGCCTATATTGTTTTGTATTGCCAAGTGCTTTGTATTACAACCGTCAGTGTTTGTGCATCTTTAACAACAATTTTGACTATGCAAAAGTACTCTCTCAATATAAACAAATGTATATACTTAAAGAGAATTAAATTCTCTTTAATTCAATATATAATTTATACTTTTACCTAGTCTAGAACAGAAATTATTTGTAAATTAAAACAAAAACCCAAAAACTCAAACATTTTGAATGTGTTTACAACAAAAAGACTTTAAAATGTAAATATTTTCCTTTCTTAAAATGGCACGTAATCAATAAGTCAGCTCTCCTGATCGAATGTTTTGTCGCTGTGCGCTTGAATAGACGCGCTAACTACTCTTGTTGTACCCCTGGTGGAGGCGCCTCGTGCACCAAAAAGCCAATTCAATTTGCGCTACTCCCCAGCGTATTATACCGCCAAACATACGGAAAGAGAAGAAACTCAACGCACACTCAAAATATGCGCCATACTACTACATATGGCGGTGTTTTGAAGGTGGCGGTGGCGTATTCAACGTGTCGATTATTTAATGCGAGGCGAATGAGAAAACCGCGCCGACGAAACTCGGCGGCGGCGCGTATTCAAAATTAATATTCGAATTTAATTACGCGACAAGCTGCCGCGGAAACTTTGCGCTCAAAAATTTCGATCGGGAACGGCATGCGGTGTAAACACAGGCGTTGCGAGTGTGATTAAATGTGGCTGTTGTGGATGATGTTCCACACAACTTATTCCAACTTATTCGTTGGCAAAAACGACAACTCAAAGTGAAGTTTAAAAGCCTTCCATCAGTGGTTTCCCGTGCTAGTCAACCACAACATATACTGAATGTCAGTGATTTAGTTTGGTGGAAAACTAGTTTTTAAACATGTGTTTGAAATTTTCTCAAGATTTTTGATAGTGATTTTCTTGGAAACTAAAAGCGGTAGGAACCAGAGATTATGAGATTATAAAAGTTTGGAGAATTCTTTATAAGATAAGATAAGAAAATAATTAAAATTCGGAGCGTAATGATTCAGAAATTGGGAGTAAAAGTGCAAAAAATGGCAAATTTTCATTTTTTACAATTTTTTGTTTCAATTGCGAATATCTCGTAAATTAAAAGTGATAAAGGTAAGCAAATCAAGAATTCTTAATCTACAGAAAACTGTTTATAAGGTACGATAAGAAAATAATTAAAATTCGGGGCTTAAAGGTTCAAAAATTAGAACTAAAAGAGAAAAAAGAGCAAAATTTCATTTTTTACAAGTTTTTTTTTCTTCGATTGCAAATATCCCAGAAACTAAAAGCGATAGAAAGAAACGAATAGAAAATTATAAATCTACGTGAAATTCTCTATAAGATATGGCATTTAAATTTTGAAAATTCAAAAAAAATGCAAAGATAATTTGATTTCTCCACGAAAAACCAAAATAATGCATCCAGCGATGTGGAAACATTACGCACACTCGAATACTTTCAATTTATTTAGTGCTTTGCACACACGCACGCATTAACATCCAGTCTACCTACTCCTAAGCCACACAAGGGCTAAATTTTTGTTTGACTGATTCCCGATGTGTGAAATCTGAAATTTCACTTCATGCAACCCCAGAAATAGCACGCGCTACAAAATGCATTTCGCTACTACTCGCAGCAGCAGCGAAAAAACGCAAAAAGCCGATTACCCTTCACACCAGGAAAAAATATGAATACGGGTGAAGTCGTGCGGTTTCAGTTAACGGTCTGTCAATTTCCAGAATGACAGCTAACAAAAATTTCATATTCCCAGCCGAATAATTTTTCCACCCAGCGCCGCACAACCCTCTTAAAAATATACACATTTAGTCGCCGGCCATGTATATTTTGACTTTTACTCTAAACGCAATTTATTTGTATTCTCTCATTCAAATGGGCTGAAAGCAAATAAAATTATACTTGCAAAATCGGGACCCAAACGCAGAGAGAAAAAAAAGCTCGCATCCTAATTAATCGCATTCAGTGCGCATAACCCAACCTTAAAACTAGCTGTTTTAGCATGTCATAAATATTTGAGTAATAAAATATAAAAAGTATCAAAAAGTAAAGAAAAAATTGAAAGTGAGTCTGTTCTGCACTTCTCGTTATTGCGAATCCCAAGAAGCGCATTCATTGCGTCCGAAAGTCGGAAGAATATCGAAAATATATGCAGATCAAGCGTTTTGCATTCGCGCACACACAGCGCGAATATTTTTATAGTTTACTACGCCGAGAACTGCACCCCGACGAATTTAATAATAAAAAATTTCGCTTGCGCATCATCATAACCTCAAATCTGACCCCGATCGCAACATATCCAATGACTAACCTAAAAGTAAAGCACTAAATTTGTTTTACGACGTATTAAATGAATTATTACGTGTATTCATTTATTTAAAGTCGATCGTGCGGCGCGCATCGCGATAAATCCACCTTTTTCGCCGTAAATTTTAATATGCATACGCCAGAAAACAAACTGTTGAATCGGAAAATGTTCCGTACGTGTTTTACACGCTATGCACTATTTTTTCGGTTCATGTATGCAACCCACAATGCACATATATACACATTATAGGTTAGATTATGAACGTGTAGCTTACAGCCTTGAATTTAAATAATATATTACAAATGAGCTGACAACTCGTGGAATGAAACTTCCCGCCGAGCATGTGCGTGAATAATTTATGTGATTGCGGTGTTTTACTTATATTCGTGAATGACTCGCGTCTGCTGCGGTGTAAAAATATTTTGCATCGCGAGTTATCGCCATGCTTGGGCTCTTAATGTCGTGGAGCGGTGTGTGCAATTTCTTGGCGCAGCGCTGCGTAATAATTCTCCGCCGTCGGACACGAAATATTGCGTTTGCGTAGATCTAGGGCTGCTGCCGGAGAATCCAGAGTACGTACGGCATCTTCAAGCGTTCAGCCACCCGAGACTGAAACAAAACATAAACAGCCGGCGCGGAAGAAGGCGCAATTTGCACGACGACGCTCTTAGGTCTTAAGCATCCAGCGTGTGTGTTTCGCACATATTTTTGTTTTAGTAGACACGCACGATGTGTTACTATGTGGCAAACGTGCTCGGCTCAGCGTGTCCTAACGTCCTAGGATGTATTTTTTGAATTAAACATTAGTATTAGTGGATTTTTAGGTTATTTTTGTAAATCTACAGATATTTTTTGGATCAGAGTAGATACAGGTGTGAATTATATATGAAATTAAAGAGGATTTAATTGTTTATATGTGCATACCTTTATTTATAGTGACAACGGCTTTTTTCATCGTGAAATTTGTTGTTAAAGATGCACAACACACACTTGCACACGCAATAAGTGCAGCAACGCAGCGAAAGGTGTATGATGGGTTGCCTACATTGTTTGGAATTGTCAAGTGCTTTGTATTACATCCAGCAGAGTTTGTGCATCTTTAACAACAATTTTCACTATGAAAAACGACTCTCCAAGTAAAAACAAAGGTATCTACTTAAAAAGAATTAATTTCTCTTTAATTTCATATATAATTTACATCTTAAACTAGTCTGGATCAGAAATTATCTGTAAATTAAAACATATAACCTTAAAACTCAAACTTTTTGAATATATTTACAGCATACACAACAAAAGAATACATTTGTCCTACAAATACATGTCTGAAGGCGGCAGAATATAAAAAAAACTCTCCGTGGTTTGTATGCATGTCGCCGTCGAAGGAATTGCTCAGGTTTATCTTCGGAGAGCATTGCTTTATTATCCCTCGTTTTCGCACTTTTGTGTTTGGCAAACCGCCGGCTCGTGGCCTCCATGAATACATTTTTCTACCGCCGCCAAACAAAACATTTGCAACACAATGCAGCGTATTTGGCAAGCGCAATCACGAGTCGTGCGACAGGCGACAAGCACGCTTTGTGAATTAAACTTTAAACGCTCGAAAACGATTCGATATTAATAGTTAATGCGTTCACGGGTTCACGGCCCCCGCACCGGAAATGGGATATCTATTCAATCGTTTGAATAGCGCACGAACGCCGCCGTTCAATATGACGTTAAATATAAATGAGGGCGAAAATTGCCCCCAGTTGTTTACACGACGACAGCAGCTCTGCGAGTTGATAGAAAATCATTGAAAAACAACGCTTTTTCTGCAAAGTTAATTAATTAAATGTTTGTTTATTGTACAATGGGTTGCCTATATAACTACTCTAACGTAAAAATGTATAAAAACATATTTTCTGCGGCGGAGATAAGGAAAAACGTGGCCATTTGCACGTTTGCACGCTTTTTATGTGTTTTATGTCCTTTCAATGCATATTATACGTAAGCACACACGCTGGAGATGCAAATGCGAGGTCCTTATCAGTCGGGATGCAGCACTGTGCATTTGCAGCACTTAGAAAATACGAAACACGTAAAAAGTGTAAAAATGTAATGTGTTTTATATCAGTCGGGGACGTGTCGTGCGTCTCGTGATTGCGCCTCGTTTCGGTGGTGGTTCATTCATTCGCCGCTCACTATTATTACGTTATCGGCGTCGTTATAACTCGCGAGGGAGCTGGGGGAGTCCCACGCACGAATCGCACAAAGTGAGTACTTAAAGCACCTTAATAAATTTCCCATAACGCGATCGTTCATCAATTACCCACTTAACCGTGTGCGCTGGCGTTTAATGCGTCGATTTTATTGCGGCTGCATCGACAATCGACAATGTTTATCTGGTGTGTTACTTTAGATTAAGATCTACCCTTTTATGACGTGTGGAATGTTGAAATTTTACTCACCTTATTGATTTTGATTCAATACCAAACTGGATCTGAAACAGAAAAAAATATTTTTCTTTATTTTCACATTTAAAGCGTCAAAAAAGTGATTAAAGTACTTTAGTCACGCACTTTAGTCACGGGTGTGGCTAAAACTCCTTTTAAAACACTTGATATTTAATATTCTATTTTGATTTTACATAAAATATCAATTTTTGTGGTTTATCCAACGTAGATTTGATTTTCTCGACGCCACAAGCAAAAAGAAAACAAAACACAAACAAAACACGTATGAAATTCTCCGGCAGCCATAGCATTACAGATAATATTCATATCAATTGAAACCGATACGCTGCTATATTGAAATCACATTGAAATATTGAAATATTGAATACGAATGTGCACATTATTAAATCCTGTTCGGCAACCAGATATACACCGCATGTGTATAACCTCAAAAATCGGCTTTTAAATTTAAAAAAGATTTTTCGAATTAAATTTTCAGCCGGCGGCGAATGTGTTTGCTTTGCGAGCGAGTCACCACTCTGCTAATTCAATATAGTAAAATATTTATAGGTTAATTCCGCGCCGGTGATTTTTCATTAACGTTTGAAAACACGCCGTCAAGCGGACGTAACACGTGCAGTGATGGCGCACCGGTGCACCAAACGGTCAAGTCAAGTACTAACCTCACTTTCAAGCGCTTCTAACGCGAGCTTTATTAGTTTTCCATTCAATGTTTTATCAATTTTCTGTGGAAAAATGTAAAATTGATTGTGGCAAGTTTCCTCACTCTTCTATTTTTAAACTTTCAAGACATACATTCGCTTGGATTAGTGTCCGACCAAATTTTAATATTATGCACATAAAATATACATTTGTGGAGGGGGGATATTGTCCTTTAGGGAGATGGTAACCACTGGCTATGGTGGAGGGTTGGTGCAAACTGCAATCAAGCAAGAAAAGGGTTTTATTCAACTTATTCTCGCCGAGTTTATTGCTCAATTTGCCTGAACACAACACGACGCCAAACGTTAGAGGCATTTTGTGGACCTTTTCTCTCTCCACCTTCTTTTGCGACGTCTTTTCGGGGTAGTATCTGCACAACGGGATCTGCACAGGCACAGTGTGTTAAAGAGGGTTTGTGGGATCGGGAATTACAGTTACTAACTCAGTCGCAGTCGGCTGTCGCCTCCCCTGATCATGATCAGGGTTGCACATAGGATTCAGAGGAAATATTTAAGGGTGAAAAACGTTTGGAAACTTTTTAATCGTTACTTTTTAGTTATACAGGGGGAATAGAAGCTAAAAAATTTAGTTTAAAGTGTTTTTTTTTTTTGGTAAAATTACAAAAATTTTGATTTTTTAGAGTTTTCAAAACGCTCCTGAAGGCGGCACAATTATTTTAAAAACAATGTAAATAGCTTAAAAGATGCCTTAAATAATTCTCTAACTAACCCATTTAGAAAAATTTATTTTTTGTTTTTATTTTTCCTTAAAATGTCAAAAAACCACCGAAAAATAGCAAAATTTCAGCAAATATTAAATTAAACACTGATTTCTCCATTTCCATTTCCCCAAAACCTAATCCAGCAATTAATAAATCGTGTATACACATATCTAACTACACACCCGTAGAAATTAATCACAGACTTAAACAATTCCGGAGAATCCTCGCCCGAAGATAATCCCGACTTAAAAAACTTTCCCACTTTGCCATTGCAAACAAAAGAACCGAATGAAAAAAACCGAACAGCATGCCGACCAAACACAATACATCTAACCATATGATAAATAATAATCGGGCTTATGATATCAAATAAATTTCGCGTAATCCCGCCGGAGTGTTTTTCAAACGCGCGCGCCGCCGCCTCACGCGGATATATACATTAGCAGATTAAAATCGCGGGCGCAAAGTGAGGCGGTGGCAATGGTGGCGGTGCGAGAGTTTCACGAATACAAATTGTACGGCTGGAGGCAAGTAGGCGTGCAAGTTTGTCGTAATGTGCAAGAAGTGACTTCTTGCTGCGTCGTGAGGTTATGAAGCTGAAGTCGTCAGCAGTAATTAATAGTTAATTTGAGGTGCAGAGCGGAGAGAAACTTGCATTAGGAAGTTTTTAGTCTACCGCATTGTTAGTTTATTTCATGTGGGTTAAAATGGTGAAAAAATTATTTGTTTATCGTTTTTTATTCAAAAGTTATGAGAAAATTAAATTTGTTGAACTTGAAACGCCATCTATGGAGTGGTAGCTGTTTTAAATACAAACAAAAAACAGTAAAATATTCTTTTTGTACTTTTTCATTAAAAACGTCAGATTTTTCACGGTTTTGAAACACTGACAGTGGTATTTTATACACGGAGAACTCAAAACGTGACTAAAGTACTTTATTCACAGGTTTTAGTCACGGGGTGGACTTTACTTAGTCAAACAAGTTAAATCATACGCTGCTACTGCTCGTGTCAATAAAATTTTTTGTGTATCGCTTTTTAATCGTAAGTTATAAGAGAATTAAATTTATCAACTTTAACGCGCCATCTATGAAGCGTTACCCATGGTAAAAACTAATAAAAAATAGTAAAATATTGTTTTTTTTACTGTCACTTTTAAAGCGTCAAATTTTTCACTGTTTTGAGACATAAAAAGTGATATTTTATACACGGATAGCCAAAAACGTGACTAAAGTACTTTATTCACGAGTTTTAGTCACGGGGTGGAGCTTACTTAGTCTAACAAGTCAAAGCATGCGCTGTTGTGTCAAAAAAAATTATTTGTTTATCATGTTTTATTCGTGAGTTATAAAAGAATTAAATTTATCAACTTCAAAGCGCCATCTACATCACATCAGCCATCTTAAAAACAAACAAAAAACGGTAAAATATTCCCTAAAGTATCTTCTATAAGATGCAATAAGCTCCCAGGCAAATTTAACCTTTATTAGTCCGTAAAAACAAAAAGTAACGCGTAAATCGCAATATTATACTATTCAAATACGTCTGCGTTGTTTCGCAAGATGGCGCTCCAGAAAAAAATGAGTCAATACACTTTGACTGCCTCCATTCGGCTAATGTAGTTTTTGTTTGCGTTTTTCCACCAGAACAATCGGATTCGTTGCCGAACGAAGACTGTGATGGTGATGGATTACCGCCCAGTGCACTTCAGCAACGCGCGCGCGCTTTTTTTTCTCAACAGACTGAAATCCGAAACAACTGAATTAAAACGCAAAGTCACTGAGGCAGCGCCGCTGAATAAAACTTTATATTTTAACGCTCCCTCTGCAGAAAAAATAACACGAAGAAGCCGATTCAACTTTTTATAGCCGCCTTACATAATGATTTATTATGATAAGATTGTCTCTTTTGCATTCGGGGGTTGTTTTTGCATTTTGCTTGTTTTTTGCTTTAGTTTGGCTGGAAAAGTTGAATTTGTGTGCAATTGCAGAGTCAATCGACGAAGCACAGTCGACGCAATCGCACCTAATATGAAATTGAAATGTATCACGATCTAAATTCGGTATTAACCCCGTATTGGGGGCGGCAATGCGAGGAAAAGTCCGGAAAAGCAAATAGAATTCGTTTGGCCAGAGCTCAGCGTAAATTCACGCATTATACGACGAGCAGTGCAAGGCCCCGTGCACTTTTCGCACTATTGCATCCCCCATCCGCCATTGCCACCCCCTTGCTTTCAATGCGCGTTTTGTTCCATTCGTATGTGCATGTTTCGTTTACACTCGACAAACCATCCAAGTATTTTTGGGCCGTGGCTGTGGCGGTGGTTGTAAAGTTGGGAATGACTCTTCGCCGCCGCCACTGTCGCCGCCCGGGCTCGAACCGCCGTTGGGATTCATTTGTAAATACAACTCGCACTTGACATGCTCGTAACACCGCCATTTGAGTCAATATAAATTCTGTGACCCATAAAAATGTGCACGGTGTTGAAGAGGCGGCGACAAACGTGCCAAACCACACGTCAACCGCTCCCAACAGATTATTGTACTACCTAACCAATAAATACATCTATCAAAATATGTATACAACCCATTTTACAGCTGCAGCTGTTATTTTTTTGCATTTTTAACTTCAAAACACTCTCCTGCTTCACTCAGTGAGGTTAGAAACTAGTAAAAAATTTTGATAGATAGCTAAAAATATACTCTATCAGATGTGATTATATATATTTTTTTACATAACCTATAAATGCCTTTTAAATTTGAAATAAGCAATAAATACAACCCATTTTTCATCTGGAACTGTAATTTTTTGCATTTTCAACTTTAAAATTCTCTCCTGCTTCACTCAGAGAGGTTAGAAACAAATTAAAAATTTTTATTGATAGCTAAAAGTATACTCTACCAGACGTGATACTTCAAAATACGTTATTTAACCTTGAAATGTGCTTAAAACTTAAAATAAGCAATAAATACGTCTTTCGAATTATATATACAACCCATTTTACAACTGTATCTTCAAAATGCTCTCCTGCTTTACTGAAACACGCTAGAAACAAATAAAAAAATGTGAAAAATAGCTAAAAGTATTCTCTACCAGACGCGATAATTCAAAAGTTTTTCTTTGACCTTGAAATGCCCTTTAAACTTAAAATAACTAATAAATACATCTCTCAAATTATGTATAAAACCCATTTTACAAGTGTAACTTCAAAATGCTCTCCTGCTTTACTCAAACACGCTAGAAACAAATAAAAAAATGTGAAAAATAGCAAAAGGTATTCTCTATCCGACGCGATAACTCAAAATTTTTTATTTGACCTTGAAATGTCCTTAAAACACAAAATAAGATGCACATAATTCAACTTTATGACAAAACCCGCATGTGTAGGTAATAAAACGGTCTGTTGACATTTTTCACCACCCGCATATAAATATGCTGATGATAAGCAGTGATAGCGCAAAGGTCGAGATAAATATTTGACAAAACGACGCGCCGAAGACGTTTTATTTTATGCCGTCCTCGGCGTATCATAAACACCTCCTGATGCTTGCTAAGTTCGTGGTTGTGGGAATTGTCCGAAAGCGTCGAGGACATTCCGAACAC